TCCCCTCTTTTTTTTTTTAGGGTTTTTTCCCCTTTTTTTTTTTTTTTTTTTTTGCACCTTTCTTTTCTTTTCTTTAGTTTGTATTACCTTTTACTGTTGTAACTAAAACTTTTAATAAACATTATAACAAATGAAGATAAAAAAGATGGTGTTTGTTCTCTCCTGCAAATAAAAATAATATATTTCCCCATACTGGAAGGTGAGTTTTCACTGCACAATTGAATTAATATCTCTGTTTAAACAACAGTATAATGAACCACAATCCCTAATAGATTTACTGCTATCTTATATTTCTGTATTTTAGAATTTTTGAATTATAAGACCCTAACAAATTAAACTATTTTTTTCTGCCAAGAGTTATTTTAACTTACTTCCAGATGGGAAGGGTCGTGATGGATTTGGAGATTCTACATTTGAATCTTCTGGCTGCACAGAACCCCAAACTTCAGGTTGATCTATGGGAACTGAAGCCACAGATATATAACAAAATGCATATAAATCCAGAAGAACAAAAGAGCTTGATTCTTGTTTTTTTCCAGTAGCAGTTTAATCTAATTGTGAACTTTAGGAATTACTGAATTACAGCAGCTACTTAAGTAAAACAAAAACAGATTCATCCAAATACTTGTAAGTACTATTTTGAGTGTTTTGCCATGAACACGTGCAGTACAATATTGGGGCTAATGGCTTTCTGATGCATGCATTGCTCATTCATCTAATATGGCACACATTTTAAAAAACAACAAAATACTTCTGAATAAAAGGATTCAGATAGGAGCAAAAAAGAAACTTAGCACAGATTCCATGTTTTCTTAGGTTAGCATTTCAGCACCCCACGTGAGCATCGATATACTCACAGTAAGAAAGCAACAATCAGCTGCATCTGCAAGGGGAGCATGGGGACAGCATGATGAAAGCAGCGTTGCAACACAAACCCCACCCTTTCCATACCTGCAGCAAGTTGTTGCATGCATGTACAAAAGGGGCAGAGTTTGGGGTAAAACTCTGTTTTTGTTATTCTGAATAAAGCAGCAAACTCCCATGGACACCCATGGACACAGGTCACCTGCTTTGTATTTATCTTTTTCAGTTTTTGTAATCTATTGCACATCAGACACTTTGGCTAGGTCACAGTATATTAAACAATGCACGTACTGATTATTTCAGGTGAAGCAGCCTGACACAAAGACTGCATAGAGTATGGTGTGGGGTTAAGATATTGAACTGGAACAGGTGAGACCCAAGTTCAAATCAGTCCAAAATAACGTAAGAGATATAGGAACAATTGAAGTAGAGAGATGGCTAGGTATTCCACCTTGAGCTCCTGGAGAAAAGGCAACATATAAATCTAATAAATAAATGCAATTAAATAATTAATATTTACCTTCCAACTTCTCTTCCTCAAATGCAGATTCTAAGGGTGGACCAAATAATGGTGCTAGGATGGCAGGGTCTTCTGAAGCTTTTTTGCTACAGGACAATTAATTACTTGATATCAGTAGACATGACAAATGGATTTTTTTTAAATCTTCTTTTCCAAGACAAGATACCAAACTTTAAAATGTCACCCCATATATTTACATAAGAATTGAGATATATAGCTGTTTTGACATTGCTTTTTATAGATCTGCTAATATATTAAACATTGCCATATCTACATAAGGAAAATATTATGTACAGTAGCAACTGTACAGTTTCAAGGTTATACTGGAATGTTGTCAACGTGGCCATTCAATCTTCAAAATTTTATATATGAACAATTCTATAAAATCTTATATACTAAAAATAAATTGGGTTTTTGAGCGCTAATCCTTAGGGAATCAAAGAATGCCATCCATATTACCAGGACTGAATAGTACCATGATTTGCACAAGTGCAAATATAGCCACTGAAGACTAGGAATGCAGAGTGAAAGAAAAGTCTAAGTGTTGGGAGAATGGAATAGAATATGTCTATAAAAAGTGGCTCCCTGGACAGGAGTACTGTTTACTGCATTTTATTTCATGTTATACATGTTACTTTCTATAGTTGTAAAGGGAAGTTTGGGAACCAGCTTTTGAAGTGCTTAATTTTTAGACAAATGGGGCTCAATTTGCCTGAAAATACCATTGTGACTTTCTGGTTCCTCAACAGAAGCAGAGAATCACTCTGAGATAGTCAAGGATACTTTGAGAAATCTACCTTAATATTTATAAAATTGCGCCCACCTTAGTTTCAATTCTGGAGAGCTTACCCTGAACCTTTGGAATACTGTTCTGTTTCTTTAAACATAAAAACACACATTTACACATACCAACCAAAGATAAAAAAAAGAAATCTTATTATTAGTAAAAACCCAAAGGCTAGAAAAGAAAGAAATACTGGAAGCAGCATTTCACAACTGGTAGTGAAAGTGACTATCTTAAAAAAAGAGAACCCTATTCAGTTTGTTTGTTTGTTTACAACATGACAAATATGATTTGTTATTAAAAAAAATCAGAAATCAGACCACTCAAAACATAACATTCAGATATATGAATATTTTATCCAAATAATATCATGTGCATAATATTCCACCTATCTTTTTGTATGATAATTTCCATCAGGATTACAGACATTAAAAGGCGTTTTGTTACATTTTCCATTTAAGGATATCAGGATGATAGCATAATAGAAGCAAGATATCCTCTAAAATATATCCCAGTATAATCTAATAAAACAAGAAAACATCATAAAACAAATCAAATGCCTTAAACCTCTATAAGATACTAAAGAAATCTGCCCGATATTTAAAAATGCCTGAGTGCAAATAACATTTCAACAGATAATGGCACTAATAACAGTCAAGCTTCAATTCCCACTGATATTGTCACTTCTGCTCTACATAAAAAAGAAATGTTTTACTACCCAAAAAAAAAAAAGATTTCTGCCCAGCTCCTCTACAATGAGCTTATACTGGCAAAAGAATCTGGAACAAAGTCCTCAGAAGATCTACACCCATGGTGGCATAGAAGAGGAATTTAGGGGATAAAAAACTATCCTTACAATTACTATTGCTTAAACTGAAAAATATAGAATTTGAAGGTATAATGCATCGACCACCTGAAAGGATTAAGGCAACTTTTTAAAAAAACCAAGATATATGTTAACAGTTAGTATCAAGTCCCAATGTTTAGCTCTAGTCACTATCTACCTATTGTGGTAGTTTGGGTTAATCATCATCTCTATATATATCTGTGAATTTAAGATTGTTCATGCATTTGGTCTACCACAGCAGACTGGGATAGGACTATTGATCAATAGCACTTTTCCTTTTGTAAAACATTGCTGGTTCTTCTGATGTAATTTATTTCTTCTCTCTCCAATTTTCTGTCTTAATCAATAGTTAATAAATTACACATTTTAGGATAAACAGAAAACATGTACTGTAATCCAGTAAAATAATAGATCAACTATATTTTGAATCCATTTTATTTATTCTATTCGCAGGGATCACCCCAGTGGTACTAGATTTTCAATCTTTGGAGTGTTATGAGTATTAATAATAAACATAAATAGTTGGCAAGAACTGGGCCCCATTATGGTAAGTTTTGTGTACACATTTCTACTGATAGACTGTCTTAATTCGATAATATTATCTGGTAATCATGCTATCATATCTGTGTAAATTCACATCTGATACAGGTGGATGTCCTCCCCAGATCTGAAAAAGCTAGAGAAAAAAGTGCATTACAGTATTCTTTTCACATTCTAGAGTCCATACTCCAGATCTTTGTTACAAATAGAAAGGGAATGCCATTCTGCATATAGAGGAATATTCAGAGTTGAAAATTGGTCTTAAATTAGCTGAGAGATTATAATTTTTATATATTTTTTAAAGAAACAAATGTAGAGGCAATCAAGAATAAAGATAATAATCTCTCAGCACATGTCCATTTTGGATATAAGAATTCTGCATCTTTGGGGTCTCAGTTTTACACTAACCTCAGAAGCTCTGGAGTAGGTGTTGAACGCCTGGGTCTTGCTATCTCTTCACCTAGCACAAAATATACATTTAAAATAGTTTTCTCAGAGTACAGTGTAGACAAATTGCCTGCATAATATTAAATAGAGTCAGCTGAACAGTGGGCCCCTGAACATGTGGTGTTTGTGCTGATCTGGGATCAGAGGTATACTCCTTTTCCTATAATGTTGTGGCTTTGGTAACCTTTGTGCAGGTTACCAGTTAATTTTGGCTCAGTTGTGGTGCAGGAGTTATTACTGCAAGAACAGTTTGGCAATGTTAACTCCTGAGCTGTGGGACAATTCTTCTTTCAACGGGAACTCTCGACTTTCCTGCCTCCTGGCTCCCCAGCACTCCTCCTATTCTTCACTCAAGTCACCCTTCACCCATACCACCTTGCCACCATTTCATTGACTTCAAATTGAACAAAGGGGTGTTTTCTTTCTTTGCTCATAAGGCAAGGCTAAGGATGGGAAGCAGGGACTGAATGAAAGCCAATATGTAGGCCCCATGGTTGGACAACTGGGAGGAGCACTAGTAAAACTGCTGCCTGTGTGAAAGGCTATAATAGCCTTGGAGAATATTATGTTACAATTTAATATCTCTTTTTAAGATATGATCATGTGATCAACATCTGCACAATATAAACATACTAATGAAAAGTTAGGCAATGTACACTTTTCTACTTAATGCATACTAACACATAATAAATCAGGTAGAAACCTAACTGTTATCTCTCAACATAATAAAAGATTTCATAAATCATTTCAAGTGAGATTAATTATGCCCCCAATCTTGGACAGTACTCCATGAGTTCTGATTAATATTTCACTTATATCCAGAGAAGTATATATATTTTTAGGGCCTATTGATCTGGCTTGTGCAATCAGTTAACTGCAAATTCTCCATGTGCATTTTGATTTAAATGCATCATTTTAATGAGACCATCAAAGACTATTAATTATATTTATGCATTCATACAAAATTTCATAACAGCATGTAGAAAAGTGTCCTCAATCTGTTTTGAGGACTATATTACTAACATTGTGAATACAATCTTTCTTGTGAATTAGCTGTTGCAGTTATTTTAGCATGTGAAAATTATGAAAGAATTCCATCCTATCTAATGCATATTCACCAGTTTAAGTCCAACATGTTTTTAAAATGATACTTACTAGATAAGTTCCTCTTAATTGTACCCTAAAATTAAATACAGAAAACTACAGTTTAGAATTAAAGGATTATATTTACATAAATGGAACACTGCTTTGTTTTGAAATACTGAAAAGCCATAGGAAAATAACATTTGTAAAATAAAATATACATTAAATTGGGTTCATACAGTACACTTTGTGTGTTGGTGCAATTCCTTTGCCAGTTTATTCATTCACCCATATTCACACAAACATGCATTTTGAACAGAGGTGAACAGTAAATGTTACAAATGTACTACATAACCATTTCTAGTTGTTTTAGAACAATTACCATACACACTCAATTTGCTAAAAAATCCTGATCCTGGACAACCTGTTTACTGCCCTAGAGCTAGTTGATACATTCACAAAATCTCATTTGCTTGTACATTGGCTTATGTCTAAATTTTTTAAAATAAAAACCTAGACTGTAATACTGAAGAAGATAGAAAGAAACCATCAAAACAGAAAATAGAACACTCTGAAAGTATGAAAAAGAAACCGTGTGTGTGTGTGTGTGTGTGTGTGTGTGTGTGTACTTTTGCATATGCAAAAGGTGTTCTTACATGCCCTTCTGTTACCTTCTGATATCAGGATAAATGGTGACAATGGATTGGATCCAAATTGATTATTCTGTGACACATACTGTACATTCCTGCGTGTGTTTTTCAAGACAGCTCTTTTCTGGCTTCCTATTCTTTTCAAATCATATTCCATGGAATATTTTAACCCCAGAAAATGAGGCAATAACATCACATTTCAAGGAAGAAGGATGATCAAGAAGAACAGAATGACCATGAGTGCAGTAGAGAAAGTTTTAAAGAGAATGAAAATGGGAAATACTATATTTCTTAGCCAACCTGATCTGTAAAGTCTGGCAAGAATTGTTATCTCCCAAACACTCTCTTCAGGATATGGGAGGCATATTCCTCAAATAAATGTAAACTAATCCTATCTTAAATAATCTGTAATCATTTCTGCCATTCATGTTTCAGCATGAATACATGACTTACCGGGCTGCGTCTCTGTGATCAGCAAAAAGGAAGAGAGAACAGATACCTAGTCAGAGAGTGAAAGATCAGTAGTAAAATGGCTTTGGATGATATGAGGTCTTCTAGCTTCACAAAATGACAGTTTCAAAACTATTTTTCCTCAGATAGTTCTCTTCCCAATTCCATTTAAGTTCTTGAGCCTGTCTAAAGTTCATTTTAAAAATAAACCTACACTATAAAGCTGTTTGCAGGAACAACATCAAGAGAAAATCCACATTTGCTTATTTTATTCCACATTTTTATTGTTAAAAGCAGTTACAGATCTTAAATTAATTAAAATTAATTAAAAGTCAGATTAATTAATCAAGAACCATATCTTCATTCTTTACAGAATAGGCCTTTATAGGTCTTGGGAAGCTCAGGAGACTGGCCTTTTGAAATTTGCAATTACTCCAAGTACTTTTTTGGAAATACAAAAATATGTGCATTAACTTAAAAAATGTCTCTGGTTTTTGCTTCCTTTTCATTATCATTGGGGACAGGGAAAAACTTTACTGATGAGGGAGACATATATTTTCAGCTTCTTGTCTTTTTAATAAATTGGCAAGTATTCCTTGTGTTGGAAAAGGCCAAACTATGGAGTTAAATATTCTACCTTTTCCCCCCCCCCGAAAAACAGAGAACACACTTCGGATGCTGGCAATACTCATGTAACCATACTATTTTCTCTGGGCTCCATTTAACAGTATAGTAGCTATGCTCAGTAAATAATTTATATAAAACATTGAATATTTTGAAAAGCTTAAACCTACAGCAAATAATTCTTAGATGACTGATGGTTGGCAACACTGAAACTTTTACTATATTGTTTTCCCTTCAGAAACCCTGTTTCAAAGAAGCTATGTTCTCACTGGAAGGGTAAAGTATCTATTCTTATTTTTCTCTTCCAACAAAGCCATTAACAGGTTCAAGACCGCAGGTTCATTTCTATTTGAAAACTGTAGAATAAGCTTTTTTTTTTCATGCTAGTGAAGGCCATGCAACAATGTCTGAGAATCTGCAAAATTGAAAAGGCTATCAAATCTCATAACTGAATCTTTCCAAAGTGCTTTACCTGATTAAACCAAATTTGAAAATAAGAATGGGGACTGTGTTAATCAAAGTGACTGGAGTGGATGGCTCAGATAATTCTGAGATTTGATAGACTTTTTGATTTTGCAGATGCTCAAACATTGTTGCAGCTTTCTTTCCATATATGATTAAAACTGAGAGGGCTTGCATAGTGGAATTGGGTGCCTAATACCAACAGGAATAATCAGTGAGATTTATACAGAACTATCAGAATGCTTAGGGACTACTGTTCTGCTTTTGATGTGTTCTGTTAGAATTTGTTTAGGCAGGTCCAGGCTTGTTTTGAAGAAGAGAAACAGAAAGAAAGGAGTTTTATTGTAAAACTCAATAAAAGTTGAAATTTAAAAATCTAGGTTGCTCTTTGTTATGTGATTTTTCTTTTCCCCAATACATAACGCTTACATTATCTTTCCTTATGTCTCATTCTATTTATTATATCTGTAGTTAAGTTCTTGTTAGTCTCTATGTCCAGTCTGTCTGTAATTCTTCAGCTCACTGAGACCCCTATTCTCCCAAAATAGGGAGGATCTGTTATTTCTGTTTCTTCACTGTGTGAGTGGTTTGAGACAGTGTGCTTTGCTTTTATATTATTCCATATAATACAAACTATTCTTTATACCATATATGTTATTTACAAAAGAGTGATAATACATATTTCTTATACCTTTTTAATATTGCTGCATAAGCTACATCTAATGTGTTCCTGGAAGAGTCTAACTTTGCCACTGAGGCATGCTAACACGTCTCCTAGTCTAGAAGAGCATGTGTTTACAACAGTAGTAAATTCTTAAATCTTTAGTAACAGCTTTTTAAAAAAAAAAAAAATTTGGAATAGGACACTTGATGAATTCAGTGCAATTTCTCTATAGGTTCTTTGCTGGACAATTTTGAAGCTTCTGTGCCTTTTCATTTCCTATCCCTGCTACCTCTGCCTTTAAAGACATTCAGTAAGAATATTTCAACACTTCAGTGTGTTGAACCTTTGAACTTATCTGGTGAAACTTTGCAGGCTTAATATTTTCTAAAACATCTTCTATTTGTGCTATTTTCTCTCATACTCAAAGGGAGACTGATGATTCTTTGATGCTTCCCCATCATACTGAATGATCTTTTATCTTCAAATCTTTTATCAAGCTGAACCTCAAAAGTTCAAAATGAATTTTGTTGCCTTTGAATCTCACATCTCAGATTTGAATCTGATCTTGCCAACTACAAATCTTCCCCAACCTCCAATTTATTCCGACAACTCTATAAGGAGGTTAGCTGGAGAGGTGACACCTGGCCCAAGTGACCAATAGGTCTGCATGGATGACATGGTTCCTGTTTCTTCAGGGAAAGCAAGTGGTTCAAGTAACATGCAGCCATTCTCTACTCTTAAATTCCCATTAGTACTGCTGACAATGTGTAGGGAAGAACTGTGCTTACTATTCAGAGCCTATCTTCCCAAACCTATCCTTGGTTTCTTCCTTCTTGTGAAATGATGTGAAGATGAACAACCAGACAGCACTACCCTCCCAGATACTACAAAGTCTGTGTGTATGTGTGTGTTCATGTGTATAATATTATTGTTTACATCCAATAAAATTAGAGTATTAGGGAATAAGACTTCTTACCGGACTTTTCCTCTGCAAAATGCATTAAGATAAAGAAGAGAAAAAAATAGGCATTTTCCACTGTACATAAAGCCATGGAAAAAATAATGAAGAGTTCATGAAATGACACATTAAATATTTTACAGATCAGTCCTAAAGACATTTGTTCAGAAATCTTTCAAAATTAATTTTAGTTAAACTTACTTCCAAAATTCCAATGAAGATAAATGTGTAACTATGAAAAAACTAGAAGTTTTATTACCAAATACAAAAGAGAAATTCAAACAGAAATGGGCATTAGTAATATGCATAGACTCTGCATACTTATTCAGAAATACATTGCAATAGGATTAAAGAGGTTTGCTATAAAGTAGCCTTCCCTAGCCTGGACATTTTCTGAATTTATGGTCCTCAACTTCCAGGATGCCCAGCAGTGGCCAAGGTTGCTGGAGAATTGTGTAAGAAGATGTTCACACCTCCGGATAATACCCAGAATGGAGAAGACCATTTTAACATAAGTTTGTATAGAATTATAGCATTAAAACATTGCAAACCCCCAATTTCTCATTACTGACATACACTATAATATTTCTCAATTAATGTGTAATTAATTAGCTTAATTACTAATTAAAAACAAGTAAATGTGATGGACACTAATGATCTTCTGTAACTTATCAAAGAGACTGAACACATTTTCATTATTTTTGTGTTATCTTATTTGCCTCTGATCAATCAGAAAAATTTTAAATTTAAAATGAGTTCCACCATTATCCATGCACATTTTTAAAGAAAAAATGGTGCTATAGCTGCTTTGTTAAACTGCCAATTACTCCAACTTCCTGCTAATATTGTTGACTTGACAAAAGTAAATGTTTAAGAAATACCAGTCATAGGTTATTATCCTGAGCAAGATTTATCCTGGCTAAGAAGTACAATAAAATAGAAGACGTATTGGTTCCAGATAACATGGGATGATAAATATAGTCCTAAATAAAGCTGTCAGATTTTTCTCAGCTTAAGCAGGCTCAGATCTTACGCATATCTACTCAGATGCAAGACGTACTGAATTCAATGAGACTTGCTTGCAAGTAACGCTGCAGTTTGGCAGTCAGAATCTATTACACAATTTAATCGAGAAGAAAACTTACTGATTACGTATTAGAACAGCACATTTCCTTTGGCCATCAAACAGAATCCAATTACAATTCAACAGAAAGCTATAAATACTAATTCCGCCACTAGATACAACAAAATGAAACCTCTGCTGCGGTCTCATTTTCAGTCCACAACTGTTTGCCATCTGCTTAAGCCAGTGTTGTCCAAACTTGGCCACTTTAAGATGAGTGGACTTCAACTCCCAGAATTCCCCAGCCA